CTCGCAAAGGAGCAATCGAATACACAGACCGAGTATCTGATGGATTCGAAGAGATAGGGATTACTTCTTCACCTTTGGCAAAGTCACAAACCTCCTCAATGTTACCTTTACTTCCAGACATCTGAAAAACCACAAAGACAAGCTTCAGTCGAAGCTCTAAGGTTACACAATCTGTTCGTGTACAAAATACCCAAGGTAATAGATTCAAAAACACTTGCCTTTGAGATATCAATGTTGGAACACTAAACCTAAAAAGTTATCTAACACTAACCCAAGACATCCTAAACTAAGGACAAATCCTAAAAGAAAATCTATCAGCATAAGGCAACCATGGCAATAGTGACAAAGGGGAATGAAAACATAAATCAAGAAAGAGTAAGAAAATATCTTGAATAGATAGAACCTTGAGAGTTCTTCAACTGGTTGACAACAACCGTCATGAACAGACACCCGAAAAGTCACTAGAGTGTCAAAGAAAGCTCTGGTTGCATAAGGAAGGTGAAGGACAAAGTTCTTAGGGTTTGATTGAGATGAAGAAGACAAATAGCCAAAAATGGCAAATAGCGCTTCAAGTTTTATTATATAGCGTGCGAGAGTTGATTCTGGCCATTCAACAAATCCACGTGGCATCAATCAAGCACAAAGTTGTAACTGTCAAATGAAAACATAGGTAACTGCAACAGGATAGTACGTTAGCATTTAATGCATTGAAAAAAAATGTCGTTTCAGTCATCAACATTAAATGCGGGTAAGAATATTCTTTGAAAGAGAGAAAGAGTCGTTAAAGAAAGGAAATTTTTCTACGAAAGCGAAGAATGCCACGTTCAACTAACATTTTGTTATTCGCACTTCGACATAGCTACATCACCAACTTCGCAGCTTGTAGAAAAAAGTTCTCATCACCACCCAACATGGAAACTCGCAAATACCTTTTATAGTTTGCTTAAGGCCTCTAGGCATCCGTTGTCAAGACTGATTCAGTCATGAGCTCATAGCTCATTACCTACTCACTTTCACATTTTTTTCTTTTTTCGAATTTAATAAGTTAAGAAATCTTCCAATACTTGGAATAGGACGAGGAGTGACGAACCCATTTCTAAGTTCCTCTTCATCATGAACACTTAGCTTGCATCAAGTGCACTAAGTGGAGACAAACAACCTCGATCTACTTAATAAGCTCATTTAAGTTTGAGTTCGCTCACAATACCAGCCAACAAGGAATCCATGATTTCTTATTTCCTATTTGGTATAAAAATTGAATGAACGCATGTGACGGCTACATTGTGCTTTAAATAACGGTCTACCTGACCTTGTGATTTCTTGACGACAGTTTGTTCAGCTCACATTTGATTTAATCTTCTCTCTAAGATAAGAGCTCCTTAACTTAAAGAGTGGGAGACAAATTGTATGGGTAAAAAATCGTATTGGACATCTGACGGCCCAATAGAGTTATAATCATTATACGACCCAGTGCCTTGGCCCAAGTTCGATTGGGCCACATCATAATTATGGCCTGATGCCTTGGTTTAGCCTTGGCTGTTCCTGAAAAATAACCATGACCTAAATTTGGTTGGTCTTGAGTTAAAGTCATTTATAAAGAAAGTTTGCTCCACGAGCTAATACAAACTACAAGTCAATCTCTTCTATGAGCCTGTCCACAGTCCACAAGTTGGGCTACTCTACAAAGCCACTTCACGATTTGGATTAATCTATGATCAGTTGGCTTTCTCTAATGAGCTGGCCAAAGGTTCCGAGCTTATCTAACTTTGAATTCCACAAGGATCATGACACCTTAAAAGTTCTAAGCTCCATGTAAATACTAGCTCGATGTAGACTCCTAACTCTACAAAGAGTTTGGCGCTCTAAGACTCCTAGTCTTAGACGAACTCGGACATTTAATGAGTCCCAAAGTCACATACAGACTCTAACACCCACAGACTCTTAGTCCTATCAGGATTCTCATAAATCTTGGTGGTTTTAAGTCTTACAACAGCTTTCTTCCTCAGGTATTCTGGTTTCACATAAACTAGTACTCCTAAATAGACAAACCATAAACTCCTACTTCTACTAAGACTGAAACCTTCATGGCTTGCTATAAAAGCATAGGCCTGCCCTCTCGAATATGATTCATTATTCTTTTTCACACTTATTCAGCCGATAGTCTAGAATCCAAGTATTCTAAACACAAGCATTTTATAGTTCCCCCACCTTTAGTCGTCCTTTGTCATAGAATTGGGTTTTGACCATTCTATGGTGAAGTTAGTTTGCCTTAGCCCTAAAACACGGTAACCTTCCTTACCCTTATTTCCACTCAGTTTTTCGTCACAACCTTGCTGACTTGAGCGTCGGAGTGCCTATGGTAGACACCACAACGGTGTCCCCAAGTACTTTATGTTCGTTTTCCGTGTCTCTGTACAGGAATTCGAGATTGCCAGTGTCGGAGTGCCTACAATAGACACTCAAAAGTGTCCCCAAGTACTTCACGTTCGTTTTTCAGGTCTCTCTACAAGAATTCGAGATTTGTCAGTGGCTTAACATCCCATCAGTAATGCTAGGTAGATTTCATCATCTACAATAATAAAAATTATTTATAAAAGTTATATTAACATGTATGCTTAAGAAAATAGGGAAATGAATAGAGTATTATTTTGATGAGCGGTGCTATATGTACAAACTCTTGTATGCAAATTGATATTGTATAACTCTTTTATTGTCACATCATTCATCTACATTAATTAACATTTATTAAGTTGATTTTGTATACAAATTCATTCATTTAGTTTGTGTCACATCAGTTTATATGAAAGAGTTTGTATATTTAGTATTATTCTAAAAATTAATAAGTAAATAAGGAGCTGATGTGGCAAGTAATATGTGTATACCATGGTACATTACCTAAAATGAAAATTTTGAGTTTTATTTGGAAAGTATAATTTATTTCATTATAATCATATTTTTCTTTTAATTGTACTTTATAATGTTGATAAATTTAATTGCTATTTGTGTTTGAAATGGAAAAGTACTTTTTGACAACACAAAATTACTCTTTAGAATATTTTTTCTAAAGTAGTGATATCACCTATTCTAATTAAAAGCGTTTTTTTTTCTTAAAAAAATCCNTCTCTAATGAGCTGGCCAAAGGTTCCGAGCTCATCTAACTTTGAATTCCACAAGGATCATGACACCTTAAGAGTTCTAAGCTCCATGTAAATACTAGCTCGATGTAGACTCCTAACTTTGCAAAGAGTTTGGTACTCTAAGACTCCTGGTCTTAAACGAACTCGGACATTTAATGATTCCCAAAGTCACATACAAACTCTAACACCCACGGACTCCTAGTCCTATCAGGATTCTCATAAATCTTGGCGGTTTTAAGTCTTACAATGGCTTTCTTCCTCAAGTATTCTGGTTTCACATAAACTAGTACTCTTAAATAGACAAACCATAAACTTCCTACTTCTACTAAGATTGAAACCTTCATGGCTTGCTAGAAAAGCATAGGCTTGCCCTCTCGAATATGATTCATTATTCTTTTACAGACTTATTCAGCCGATAGTCTAGAATCCAACTATCCAAGTATTCTAAACGCAAGCCTTATATAGTTCCCCCACCTTTAGTCGTTCTTTGTCATAGAATTGAGTTCCGACCATTCTATGGTGAAGTTAGTTTGCCTTAGCCCTGAAACACGGTAACCTTCCTCACCCTTATTTCCACTCAGTTTTTTGTCACAACCTTGCTGACTTGAGAGTCGAAGTGCCTACGACGGACACCACAACGGTATCCCCAAGTCTTCATGTTCATTTTCCGTGTCTCTCTACAGGAATTCGAAATTGCCAGTGTCCGAGTGCCTACAATAGACACCACAAAGTGTCCCCAAGTACTTCACGTTCGTTTTCCGTGTTTCTCTACAAGAATTCGAGAATGTCAGTGGCTCAACATCCCACAAGTAATTCTGGGTAGATTTCATCATCTACGACAATAAAAATTATTTATAAAAGTTATATTAATGTGTATGCTTAAGAAAATAGGGAAACGAATAGAGTATTATTTTGATGAGCAGTGCTATATGTACAAACTCTTGTATACAAATTGATATTGTATAACTCTTTTATTGTCACATCATTCATTTACATTAATTAACATTTATTAAGTTGATTTTGTATACAAATTCATTCATTCAGTTTGTGTCACATCAGTTTATATGAAAGAGTCTGTATAAAGAATTTGTATATTTAGTATTATTCTAAAAATTAATAAGTAAATAAGGAGCTGATGTGGCAAGTAATATGTGTATACCATGGTACATTACTTAAAATGAAAATTTTGAGTTTTATTTGGGATGTATAATTTATTTCATTATAATCATATTTTTCTTTTAATTCTACTTTATAATGTTGATAAATTTAATTGCTATTTGTGTTTGAAATGGAAAAGTACTTTTTGACAACACAAAATTACTCTTTAGAATATTTTTTCTAAAGTAGTGATATCACCTATTCTAATTAAAAGCGTTTTTTTTTCTTAAAAAAATCCTGTAGTCAAACTCTTAACTTTTATTTATTAAACCATCTAAAGTATATATCAATTTTGAATAGATGCCCCTCTGGCATGCATCTAGAATTTCACTTAAAATATATGTATATACATTTACTCAAATATAAGTACTTCGAAATTCTTGTGTAAATTAAATTCATATGCTATCTTTTGGTCTTAGTCAATGAATAATTGGAGTGAAATTTTCATTAATTCTAAAATATGATATCACCATCCAAATATTAATCAATTGGCACCACTCTACCTAATAGTTTTGTCCCTTTTGTTAAGGAACCTCCTTGGTAAGAAGTTGAAACATAGTAATTTCTTGATATTATCAAATATATAGGAATTAATTAAATAAAATAATGAACACACTAAAAGAAGAAGATTGATAATATATTCATTGAGCTATTCAATTTGAGTAACAATCATAGAAACATGTATTAAACAATAAAAAGGTGTTGGTTCTTTATGTAATCTGCCCATGTGGGTTGTTGGACCCACCAAAAACTAGAAAGCGGACTCCACAAAGACTTGCTTTATATTTTCTTAATTACATTTACACCTTGCAACTATCAATAACAATTCTGCATTATTGGCTTCTTCACAAGAGAGAATTTTGTTGTTTTGGGTCCCAATAGCCCCCAAAAAAGCCTAATTTTACTTACCCTTTTGTTTTTTTGAACACCCCAACCAAAAGGATGCCTTAAATTATCAAATTGACAACATTATCGATCTTTGGGACCATAGATTAACAGATTGTTAATCCAACAGTTATCAATGGTCAATAATGTTGTCGAATCAGAAATGTACCCCTATTGAATGAATGTACATATAGGGTTCAACAAGGCGGCCGTTAATAATATTAGGAGCCAAAGGGTGCCCTGTGAGGAATGCCCTTTCTTCTTCTTGCACTTGAAGGAGGTTTGGGAGACGCGGGCGGGTAAATGTGATGTTGTGAGCCTTCACGCAATTCTTCTAATTTTGATATTCCTTCTCTTCTTTCCATTAATACCTCATTCTTAACCTCCAAGGTAAAGTTTGCTTCTCCATTTCTCTTTATTCCTGCAAGCTAAGTAATTAAAGAAAAAAGAAAAATAAATTTATACATAAATACCAATCATATAATATAATTATAACAATATTGATGATGCTTCCACATGACATAAGTTTCTGAATGTGTAATCCATCATCTTGCATGCACATGATAAATAATGGAGGTGGATGTATGATATATAATAATGATGAATGGTGGGTGGTTGTGATGGTGATGGTGATGGTTTAAGAATGTGGGACATATACATAATGCATGATGAAATCGTGACCATTTGATGAGATGTGAATGATGATGATCGATGAGAACAATGTGAGAAGAAGCAAGAAAGAAATGCTAACCTTACATCCCAATGAACAGAAACGAAAAGGGTCGAGTAAGCTTCTTCCGCAAATTTCACAAATGTGAGCAACTCCTTTACCACTTCTCGGTTGAGGCCTCTCATTCAGAAACAAAACCCGAGCACTGTTTATCACATACGTTTGAACTCCACTTATATCCAATACCTTTTGAATCTCTGAAACTCTCACAACATCATGATATGACGATCTTCTTATCTACAAAACCAACAATTTCTAACTCAATTTTCTCTTAATCAATCAAAACCTTACAATGTCAATAAGTACAAACCTGAATAACTTGATGATCTTTGTGTTTCGAGGAGCGGCAATAGAAGCAAAATGCATCTCCATTACAATCTAAACAATACATATTACATTCACTCCTGGCGGCATCTCCATGTGTACGGCATACTGTAAAAAAGGCCGTGGTCAACAATGGCTCTAGCCATGGCGGAACCAACAATGTGTCCTGCTAAGACGCCAAAAAAATTAACTTCATCAGAAAGTAATGAAATTTAGTGTTTTGGAATGAAGAAATGATGACATCATTACCATTTTGAAAGGTGAAGATTTGCAGAAATGGGTAATTGTTGAAGAAATATGAGTGTTTAATGTACAGACTGTCGGATTCAGAGAGAGTTGGAGATGGAAATGAAGAAGAGAGAAAGAAGAGAAGAGAGAGAGAAAGAGAGAGCGAAATGATCAACCTGTAACTTAGAATTCAACAACAAAGCAACGCCTAGAAGACTAAGAGACAACAAGGTTTCATAAACAAATGAAGTAAAATATGCTTTGAGAATCTGAACGGATGAGATGAATTGTGGTGGCTGAAGTTAATGAACAACCGTTGGATTATTAGACAGGGATAGGTGGGTTTGGCGCTTACGCTTCTTTGGATCTTCTTTGCGTCTCTACGTAGGCACTAGGTCGGCCACTTGGCTAAGCATGAGCTGTTCACACAAACCATCCTTTCCCTCTTTTTGTGTCACGTGTACCTAACTTACACCTGGCATCATCAGATCGGTTAAGTTCATTGGGACCCTGCTGGGGGCATTTTATGAAATTGATGTGGAAATTGAGCGAAAATGGCTAATTGTGATGCCGTTTTCACAACCTCTTAATCATCGCAAGAATTTGGAAATAAATTTTCATATTCTTAAATATCTTCCTACTTTTTATATACAGTTACAGAACTCATTTATGGACCGACATTCTTCTAGTTATAACTATAATGTAAGCAATCTTAAATTAAAACCTTTTATATATTTATAACTTATGTTACCTTTGTTTTTTAATCTAAACGCTGGAAAATATATAAGTCTGATACACACACACACACACACACACACACACACACACATATATATATATATATATATATTGTTTTCAATATGTGATTATAAGTGTTAAGTTTTTGTTTTTATATACAATGAATATTATAAAATTATTGTTTTTATATACAAAACAAATATTATAAATTCAAGATACCTATATATGTTATTATACTGTTTTGATATAATATTAAAAATTATTATAACAAAAGAATTAAAACAAAAACTAAAAAAAGACTAATCATGATAATATACAAGAGTTTTGTTAAAATTGGAATTATATAAATTTGATAAGAGTATTATTGACAAAAGAAAATTATTATTGATTCGGATTTTTTTTAATTCAGATAAAAACTAAATATTTTAGCTTTTTCATTACATATGTGTATCAGATCTAAATTAAAAAACAAAAAAACAACCATAAAACATTTTAATTTATTAAAATGTGTTACATTCCAATATAAAAGGTAAAAACAAGTAGAAGCTTAGGTTAAGTTCAAACAATATGAGAATTATTTGAATCCGATTGATAGAATAAAGTCCAATAATATAAATCCAAGAAATGAAGGGTTAATTAATTAGTAAGTAAATTATAGCTTTACAGGCATTTTGATTGATAGAAAATAAAATACAGCTTGTTGAGGAGAGGAGAGGCACTTTAGACAAAATACATAAGATTAGGCGGGATGTCATGTCGTAAGGTATATAATTTAGAGGTTAATTAAACAAAAAGAGTAAAGTTATTAAATAAATACACATTGGCCACCTTTCCTATTCATATATTAACCATAAAAAATCTAGCTGTTTTGATTAATATAACTGTTTTTTTCGCCGGCTCAAATATATGGTAGGTTGGTGGGTTCCAGCTCTACACATCTCATTGATGATCATTACCGTTAATTCATATCATGATTGATCATTAAAATTATTATCACAAAACAACATTATGATTGGCCAAGCAAGATTCAACTAAAATTCTCCATATCTTGTTTCATTTGTACGGGCGTCACGGAAATAACATTATTGTAAAATTAATATATAATAATAATAATTAATTATAATAATAATAAAAAAATATTATTATTCATTATCAATTAGGACATTTTGATATTAAGCTTATCAAAAACATTCTAATCACTATTGGATTTATTTATTGGGTTTATATAATATGTTTCAACGTCCAATGGTATATATGAACTTAAGTTTATTAAGAGAATTTGGATCGATATTATTTTATTATTTTTATGACAAGGTGTAATTAAAACTATTATTAACATTGTTAAAAATATTTCAACATAANAAAATTGGAATTATATAAATTTGATAAGAGTATTATTGACAAAAGAAAATTATTATTGATTCGGATTTTTTTTAATTCAGATAAAAACTAAATATTTTAGCTTTTTCATTACATATGTGTATCAGATCTAAATTAAAAAACAAAAAAACAACCATAAAACATTTTAATTTATTAAAATGTGTTACATTCCAATATAAAAGGTAAAAACAAGTAGAAGCTTAGGTTAAGTTCAAACAATATGAGAATTATTTGAATCCGATTGATAGAATAAAGTCCAATAATATAAATCCAAGAAATGAAGGGTTAATTAATTAGTAAGTAAATTATAGCTTTACAGGCATTTTGATTGATAGAAAAATAAAATACAGCTTGTTGAGGAGAGGAGAGGCACTTTAGACAAAATACATAACATTAGGCGGGATGTCATGTCGTAAGGTATATAATTTAGAGGTTAATTAAACAAAAAGAGTAAAGTTATTAAATAAATACACATTGGCCACCTTTCCTATTCACATATTAACCATAAAAAATCTAGCTGTTTTGATTAATATAACTGTTTTTTTCGCCGGCACAAATATATGGTAGGTTGATGGGTTCCAGCTCTACACATCTCATTGATGATCATTACCGTTAATTCATATCATGATTGATCATTAAAATTATGATCACAAAACAACATTATGATTGGCCAAGCAAGATTCAACTAAAATTCTCCATATCTTGTTTCATTTGTACGGGCGTCACGGAAATAACATTATTGTAAAATTAATATATAATAATAGTAATTATTTTTATTATTATTATAATAATATTATTATTCATTCTCAATTAGGACATTTTGATATTAATTTTATGAAAAACATTCTAATCACTATTGGATTTATTTATTGGGTTTATATAACATGTTTCAACGTCCAATGGTATATATGAACTTAAGTTTATTAAGAGAATTTGGATCGATATTATTTTATTATTTTTATGATAAGGTGTAATTAAAACTATTATTAACATTGTTAAAAATATTTCAACATAACAAATATATATATATTTGTTGAATTGACGAAAAAAAAAAAAAAAATCTTTACCTATACTCTCTCTCAATGATTTAGTTTCAAAATTTTATGTTGCATTCATAACTTAAGAGTTAAAATTGAAATGGACATAAGTATTTTTAACACCTGAAATTATGTCACCATTTAATAACATTAATTAAAAAATTTAACTTTTTCCTTTAAATCAGTGAAATTATATTAGATAAATAAAAAAAATTAAATAATAATATGGAAAAGCCTTTTAAGAATACAAAAGAAGTTTGGTGAAAGAGCACGAACTTCCATGAATTTTGTGGAAAACGTTTTGATGGGGATGAATTTCTAAACATATATTGACCAACGTGTTATGCATTTCAAAGAAGAAAGATTGTAAGCAATCAATATTAATTGCAAATGTTTTTGTGATACCATTTTTCAAGTGGTGAAGAAGAGTTGGGATTCTGTTAAAAGAGAGAACCTCCCCCCCTTTTTTTTCTCAATTTGTGGAACAAGTACAGTGAAAGATGACAAAGGTAAGAGACATTTCAGAAAGAAAAGACCTAAATTAGGGTTTCTCCATGTTCTCAAAAAGCAATTTTCCCGTGAAACAAGCAAAAAGGCATCTTGATTTTGATTATTTTCGTGAAACAGATACCAATTCTGCTGTAAATTGAGATTCAAAGGCCTATTATATATAGATATATATATATATAGTAATCTCACACAAAATGACATAACATTTAGATAATAATTTTAAAATATTAGTTTCGAGGTATATTATTTTAACCAGGTACCAAAAAAATTTCATCAGCTATCGAGACATCACAATCACAGGAGAGCATATCACACAATTAAAGGGATCATATCGTTCTTTAATCCATCTTTTTTGATCCATTAATGTCTAATGATGCCCTTTACCTTCGACCAACTAGCAATTAAAGCTTTCATTTGATTGACAACTTAATTGTACCTTTAATAATCCCATTTCAGTCACATCTTAAAATTTTGTAATTTTCGCAAATATACTTGATTCTTTATACTTGCACAATTATTTGTGAATAACTAAAACTTTAAGATTCAACCAAATTAAGCATGCTTAAGGGAAATTCATTTCTTAAGAATTCCACAAACTGCCTTAAAATGCATCATTAAGCCTCTTCTCTACCATTAAATCTTCCTTTCAAATTTAAGAGAAAAAATTATACGAGACAATTTCATTATATCACTTGGTCATCGTGGTGAGATTATTTAATAAAACAAAAAATATGTAATATTAATTTTTTAAATGATCTCTTATGATGGTGATTATTTTTTAATGCATAATTGACGAATTAAAGAAAAAAATTGACATATATATATCAATGAAAAAAGATGATGAGATTATGCCGTATAAATATTTCTCCAAAACTAAAATTAAAAAGACATCTAAGTAATCATCAGCTTATTGAGATTCTTTAAAATGAATTAATAAATTATCAATTGATAACAACAATCTTATTAAGGAAGAATACTTTCACAACTACTCCTGCCTATCCTTAGTTGTGAGAGAGACCTCACAAATCTTGAAGACATTCGATCTAATTGCTTCATAGATCGTGCCTTAAACGATCTACTTTCCATTATAACATTTCTTAATGAAGAAGAAGATGACGATGATGATAATTCTTCTTCTTTCCTATTCTCTCTTTGTATGTTAAGAAGAACATAACATTGATCCATAGATAACGACCTCTTCAAACCTCCCGCAACTAGACGCTGCCGTTTCCCTTCCACGGGCAACACAGTTGACACGCTATGTCTAGGCAAAACACTTGATGATTCATCAATTCCTGAACTTGAAGGACTTTCATCACCCCCTTCATCGGATAAATTTTGAGAAACGACTTCGTTTCTCTCATCACTCAAAGACAAAGCTACGTCGTTACTGCAGGGTTCAACCATTAGTGACCGGCAAAGGGGGCAGCTGGAGTGTCGCTGGAACCAGTTATCAATGCACGAAACATGAAACGAGTGTCTGCAATTAGGCAACAAACGAACCATGTCTCCATCCTGCAATTCTCCGAGGCAAATAACACACTCGGTTTGATCGACACGAAACGTGATAACGTTGCCGTCGTCCTTTGTTGATGAGTAAGAGAGAATTGGAATCGAAATGAGGACTTTCTCTTCGACCCCGAAAGGGAATTGCTGATCGGGAAGTGGGTTCGAGACAGCTGAATCAGGGGAGGACCTCAATCGCCATCCCAAGCAATATCTAACAATGAAAAAATGGTATACAACTATTGCTAGAGCTGTGGCTGCTATACCCGCCATAGCTATCAAAAGTGGAGTAAAATATGATCCTGAAGCTAAAGAAAGTTCCGGTGGAGACCCTACACCATCCATGGCTCATCATCTACAGGATTTATAACAATGGATGGTAGCTTTTTATAATCAACTTCAACTGTCCTGGAAACTGGAAAGAAATAACAAGTAGTTAAAATTGGAATGAAGGGGGTTTCTGTTGTTGAACAGAGATAGAGAAAGGTGAAGAGATCGACTGAAGAGGGAGTGGCAGTGTCCACGCGTCAGGATTTACCCTAAAAGCCGTAAAGGATTTGGGCATGTGGCTCAACTTGTGACAATTGTCAGGTATCCGATTTCATAATATTTAAATTGATGAGGAGGATATGGAAGTACCTAACATTGATTTGGAAGGATTAGAAAAAAGGAGGGCAGGTGAGGTTTCTTTGAATATTCACATAGAATTGGAGATATTATGTTTTATTAAAGGAGAATTAGATGAAGATTAGGTAATCATTATAGAGATTATCTAAGCTATAGCAAGAATTTAACTCGGTGATATCAAGAGTTGGTCAAATATACATAATAATATATAGTTGTTTATATTGCATTTTGTGGTTGTTGGGCGGTTGAGCTGATGATGTATAGCTGTTTCCAGGCATAATCTGCATAACAAATATTAACATGTGAACAAGAATATTTGGGCAGCCGATTGAATCAAATTGTTTTATGTTGATGCAAACCCGAGTGACTAAATTAACTTCTGATAAGATATAGATTAATTTTATTAGCGGACGAGCCTATTTGTACTAAAAGAATTCTCTAGACTCTGATTTTTATTTAATACAAATCTAAATATAATTTCAAAACAGTTATTTAACTGAATTTAAAAAAGAAAATACTTTTATCATAATTTCTATTAAATCAAGTATTATTTTATTGATTTCGTGTTTGAATTTTGAAAATATTTACAGTAAAAATTTGATTCTGAAATTTTTTTAAAGAAGTGAATGTTAAGATTAGTTTCAGAATGGTTAAAAGTCTTTGTTAGAATTACAATAATCATTACTTTAAAAAGAAATCGAATGTTGGTGACAATTTTATGAACTTGTTAAAAATCAGTATGTGAAAAAAGGTAATATATCATCCAAACCAAACGGATTCACTTTCACAAAGGACAAATAAAATTGACCTATAACAATAATAAGATAATGATATTAAACTCACGCTGTAAACTAGATTATGCACGATTTACAATTGTGTTGTCAATCTTTAACCAAAAGCCTTGAGATGTTGGATGAAACCATGCCTTATACTTCAAAGAACATCTAATTAATTGGTTGATGCAAGAATGAATTGAGATGGTAAGTTGCATCTACTCTTTGGGGCACACACACAGACACAGACATATATATATGTACTTCAAGTATTAATCATACGAGAATATAGAATAGGTTGTGAGTATGAAATTAATGGAGCCTAGAATAATTAAAACAATATATTAAAAAAATCGTTAAGTAAAAGAGGCTGCAACATCCAAGAATAAAGGTATTATAGTGATCAATTAATTGTATCCGAATCATGAAAATAGATATAACTAGTTAAAAACCATCTCAGTAAGGAAGAATTCCACTAGGTGGGGTGCTACTCCTGTTCATCCTTAGTTGTGAGAACGACCTCACTAATCTTGACGACAAATATCGTGCCCTATACGATCTACTCTTCATTAAAAAATTTCTTGATGACGAAGACGATGATGATTCTTCTTTTCTAATCTCACTTTGTGTATTAATAAGAACAAAATACTGATCCATGGATAAGGATCTCTTCAAGGCTAGAGCCAAACATGGCGGTTTCCCTTCAAATGGCAACACTAATGACACACTATGTCTCAGAAAAGCATTCGGACGTTCCACAATTGATGAATTAGTAGACGCACTTCCATCGCTAGCGCTACTACTAGTTAAGCTACCACCATTCTGTCCATTAATCTGATTTGAATCATGAACACCTTCTTCATATGTGATTTCATGAGTTACAGGCATCGCGACATCTAAATTAGTCCTTGGTTCAACAAGAGCCGACCGGCAAATGGGGCAGCTACTGTGTCCCAAAAACCAATTATCGACGCACGCTACATGAAATGCATGCCTACAATCAGGCAACAAACGTACCATTTCTCCATCTTCCAACTCCCCCAGGCAAATTACGCACTCGGTTTGATCGACACGAAAGGCGTTTTTCGTGTCATTCGTTGTCGAGTAAGAGAGGATTGGGATTGTAACGAGGATTTTCTCTTCGACCCCGGTGGGAAAATGAAGATTTGGAAGTGGTTCCGAGGCAGAAATAATATCGGTGGATGACCTTAATAGCCGTCTCAAGCAATATCTAACAATGAATTGATGGAATGAAATTATGGCTAGAGAAGCAGAAACTATGCCTGCCATGGAGATCACAAGTGGGGTGAAGAATGATTCCGAAGCTTGATCTGGTGGTGCCCCTACGCCATCCATGGCTCATCCTCTACAGGATCTTTAGATATCAGAAAATTAAGTTCAGATGATTATTTGATTTTGGCTAAACTTGGTCATAACTGGATTCAATTTGGCTTTAAACATGTAAAAAATATGTATATATAAGAATGAGAGAGTCCTAGCAACAAGGCAAGTGTGTTTTGGCTTTGTTCTCTCAAAGTGGTTCCAATAAATTTGGGTTTCTGTTGTTGAACTGAGAGTTCGGGAGACTCAAGTGGAGTCTGTGTGGTATAGCTAGTGACAATTGTAAGGTGTCCATGCTCTCGTGGAGGTTTCGTAAATTATTCTTATTACATTCAATCAAGTAATTATGTACTTGAAAATAGGAGTTGCCTTGGGAGAGAGCTGGATTTCTCCTGAAGATTTTGTGGTATGTGATTTCTTTTCTAGAAAAATGCCAAAACCTTTTTCATCTAAAATTGAATAGGTTTACCATAGTTACAACTGCAGGCGTGTGTTTTTATACAAATGGTGTGGAACATTACTCAAGTCATCAAATTACTACACATAAAACGTAGATATTAGGAAATNCTGTAAACTAGATTATGCACGGTTTACAATTGTGTTGTCAATCTTTAACCAAAAGCCTTGAGATGTTGGATGAAACCATGCCTTATACTTCAAAGAACATCTAATTAATTGGTTGATGCAAGAATGAATTGAGATGGTAAGTTGCATCTACTCTTTGGGGCGCGCACACACACACACACATATATATATATTACAAGTTAATGTACTTCAAGTATTAATCATACGAGAATATAGAATAGGTTGTGAGTATGAAAATAATGGAGCCTAGAATAATTAAAACAATATATTAAAAAAATCGTTAAGTAAAAGGGGATGCAACATCCAAGAATAAAGGTATTATAGTGATCAATTAATTGTATCCGAATCATGAAAATAGATATAACTAGTTAAAAACCATCTCAGTAAGGAAGAATTCCACTAGGTGGGGTGCTACTCCTGTTCATCCTTAGTTGTGAGAACGACCTCACTAATCTTGACGACAAATATCGTGCCCTATACGATCTACTCTTCATTAAAAAATTTCTTGATGACGAAGACGATGATGATTCTTCTTTTCTAATCTCACTTTGTGTATTAATAAGAACAAAATACTGATCCATGGATAAGGATCTCTTCAAGGCTAGAGCCAAACATGGCGGTTTCCCTTCAAATGGCAACACTAATGACACACTATGTCTCAGAAAAGCATTCGGACGTTCCACAATTGATGAATTAGTAGACGCACTTCCATCGCTAGCGCTACTACTAGTTAAGCTACCACCATTCTGTCCATTAATCTGATTTGAATCATGAACACCTTCTTCATATGTGATTTCATGAGTTACAGGCATCGCGACATCTAAATTAGTCCTTGGTTCAACAAGAGCCGACCGGCAAATGGGGCAGCTACTGTGTCCCAAAAACCAATTATCGACGCACGCTACATGAAATGCATGCCTACAATCAGGCAACAAACGTACCATTTCTCCATCTTCCAACTCCCCCAGGCAAATTACGCACTCGGTTTGATCGACACGAAAGGCGTTTTTCGTGTCATTCGTTGTCGAGTAAGAGAGGATTGGGATTGTAACGAGGATTTTCTCTTCGACCCCGGTGGGAAAATGAAGATTTGGAAGTGGTTCCGAGGCAGAAATAATATCGGTGGATGACCTTAATAGCCGTCTCAAGCAATATCTAACAATGAATTGATGGAATGAAATTATGGCTAGAGAAGCAGAAACTATGCCTGCCATGGAGATCACAAGTGGGGTGAAGAATGATTCCGAAGCTTGATCTGGTGGTGCCCCTACGCCATCCATGGCTCATCCTCTACAGGATCTTTAGATATCAGAAAATTAAGTTTAGATGATTATTTGATTTTGGCTAAACTTGGTCATAACTGGATTCAATTTGGCTTTAAACATGTAAAAAATATGTATATATAATAATGAGAGAGTCCTAGCAACAAGGCAAGTGCGTTTTGGCTTTGTTCTCTCAAAGTGGTTCCAATAAATTTGGGTTTCTGTTGTTGAACTGAGAGTTTGGGAGACTCAAGTGGAGTCTGTGTGGTATAGCTAGTGACAATTGTAAGGTGTTCATGCTCTCGTGGAGGTTTCATATATTATTCTTATTACATTCAATCAAGTAATTATGTACTTGAAAATAGGAGTTGCCTTGGGAGAGAACTGGATTTCTCCTGAAGATTTTGTGGTATGTGATTTCTTTTCTAGAAAAATGCCAAAACCTTTTTCATCTAAAATTGAATAGGTTTACCATAGTTAGAACTGTAGGCGTGTGTTTCTATACAAATGGTGTGGAACATTACTCAAGTCATCAAATTACTACACATAAAACGTAGATATTAGGATATGTCTGTCGCGCAACATTGTATAATATATAAAGCATCATATAATACTAAATAATAGTATACAATGTTTGATACAAATTTTGTACTTTATTAGCTAATGCAATGTACAAGTCCTTAATGCATCCCTACTGTACTAATTAACCACAAGTAATAGGGTTGTATTAATTAGTATCAAGTAAATGGGTGGGTTAAGGGATCTATTGAATTACTTTATTTTCTTTGAAAATTTTAATAAGTTAAATAATTACTTTAAAAATATAGAGAATTATTTATTTAAAATAACATATTGAAAAACTATAGAGAAGAGTAAACGACATGTTCCCACCCAAGGTTTGGTGAAATCCCAGGTTCCCACCCCTGGTTTTATAAATTCTAGATTCATACCCTTAAATTAACAGAAAATCGTTTAAGCTAACGACTAAAGGATAAAATTATCATTTTATTCTTGAAACCAAAGGTGGCGGACACGTGCATGGGGCACTGTAGCATCCCTGCATAGTGGCTGACACATTTTAGCTAGGGGCGGCCCACATTAGCAAACGTCGCCACTAGCATTTTTAGCCTTTTTTCGCTACCTTTCCACCTAAAATAGGCCCCTCCCTCTTCCTTGCTTCCTCCTCACCTTTCCTCACCCTTCTCACACACCAGAGCACCCTCTATTTGGCGAAAAACGGTGACCATTCAACTTCACAAACCTCCATCTTTGTAGCCATTTTCCGATCACCTCCCTTATCGGAAATTCACCCAACCACCTCTATTTGATCCCCCATTCTGCCCTCTTCAAAACCCACCCCCACATTAGCTTCCCTCACTCACCATTTGCCATCCACCGGCCTTTCTTTTGCGCCTAATGGAGGCATTCGACTTTGTAAACCTCTATCTTTGTAGCCATTTTCTGATCGCCTCACTCATTGTAAATTCACCCAACCACCTTCATTGGACCCCCCATTCTCCCCTCTTCAAAACACTTTCCCACATCAGCTTCCCTCACTCACCGTTTGCTGTCCACAAGCCTTTCTTTTACGCTTAGTGGGGCAATGGGTGGGTGGGGCTTTTCGTCGAGCACTTGGTGTCCGTCTAGGGGAGAAAGCTGCTTGAATGAGTTGGGAATGACAAAAACTTTAGAAATTTACACTAATAAATCACAATCAATCTAAACTTCTCAAAACTACACACAATCAATTTTCAATATTTCCCCAAATCTCCAAAATCTACCAATCAAAGCAACTCCACAATCAAACAAACCAAACTTCTCCAAACTTGTAGAGAGGACGGCGAAGGAGGTGATGGTGGGAGAATTTGTGGGAAGAGGGTGAGGTTTTGGTGGTAGATAGACATGGGTGCTATGGGTGGTGTTTGGGAAGTTCGCTGGCTCCGAGAAACGGCCAAATCAGCCTAAAAATCTAAGAGTTAAAATAATAAATTTTAATTTATTTTTTAAGGGTAATTTGGTAATAGGAGTATCTATACTATTATCCAATCCAAAAATCATAAACGGTGTTAATTTAAGGGTAGTAATCTAGAATTTATGAAACCAAGGGTGGTAACCTTGAATCTAGCTAACTTTGTGTGGGCATGTCATTTACTCCATAGAGAATAATTTATTTGTTAATGTTAATAAATGAGTCTTTTTCTTCATTATTTGTGTAGTGCTAGAATTTAGCAAGGGCAAATTGGTCCCATCACATTCAGGGAATCTTCCAAGTATATCCCTAAATTAATATATATTTCCAAATAATTATAATAATTTTATTATAATGGGATATATCACGTTAAAGGGGTAAAGATCAAGGTAAAGATGGTGATTACATATATCTTAGACTCTATAAAAAAATAGAGATATCCTAACATGTCATTACCTTATTAAGCTAATCTTCTACTGTATGAAAACTCCTACTCTAAGAAGGAAACTCCATCCAAGGCAATCTCGTCATGACTGTATAAGGAGCATCATGCAATAGGTTTATTAATTTTAAACTAGAAATATATACTTCTTGTTGTTGGCGTCTCTTATACTCTATTGACTTGGCTGTCAGAGTGCCAACGTCGACAAACTTGTCGGTACACCCACAACCTCTGTTGTTCTGAATCATAGGGGTATCACGACTCCACATCAAATGTTAATTCCCATAGTCCATGTACCACACTTATCAACCCAAAGTCAACGATCACAATGACATTTTGAGAATTTCGTGCTTGATACGAAATCTTGTATCAACAACTAACATCGTCTATAGGGATTCCTATAGAAAGTCAATCTTACCGATGAAATGGTGTTGGTAACTTGATCCATTGACTCTACTAACAATGTTGTGGACTCCGTCTAATCTTGGTTCTGGATCTAGGTCTGGGCTCTAAAGTCCACAATATTATTAGGGTTTTCCTAATTTTGCTAATTAGCAGAGTTAGTGGATTGAGTTACCACCACCATTTCGTTGATAAGATTGGCTTTTCGTACTATTCCTCATAGACATTGCTAACTTTTGATACAAGATTTTGCACCAAACACATAATTCTTGTAATGCCCTTGTGATCATTGACTTTGGGTTGATTGGTGTGGTGAATGAACTTTGGATATTAACCTTTTTTATGGAGTCACGAT